TTGGAATAAATTATGATTCATTTCTGAATACAAACAATATCTGTACCACATGTATCCAAAGCATAGATTTCCTTTACTTTTATTTTTAGATTTTAGAATATAACTGTCCTTTGGGCTGGAAAAAAATAGTCTTTGGCAAAAATAATTTGCAAACTGGATTTAATATTTCTTATACCTACTTTATGGCTTTTTGTATTAATATTTTTATTGATAAAGTTATATAGGGTGTCCCAAAATTCACGCAAGATTTGCAAATCTTGCGTGAATTTTGGGACACCCTATATTAAGCCAATGATTTTGAAAGTCTATTAAGATATTACATTCCATATAGAGCAAGATTTAAATCTTAAATAAACTTATAGATGAATATTTTGATTTGTGTGTGTGTATTTGCTTCTTGAGAAGTCAACCCAACCCCAAATTCTAAAATGTTCTCATTATTCAGTTTGATTTTTAAATGTCAGAAGTTTAGGCTGATTTACTTATATTAACAGACTAGCACTGTCAAGTTAATTCTCTAATTAGAAGTCATTTCTCAAAAGATGTTACTAAAACCTTAGAAATACTAAAGATTTAAGTCCTGAACATTGGTATGGAGATCCATTTTCCCTATTATTTCTGCCCTCTCTCCCAGAGTGATTAGTTTCACTTCCTGTGTCTTATTCCATGAGCCATACTGCTTTTGCCGAGATTCCTAAGGCAGTGAAACCTGTTTAGGGGATCATCTTGGTTAGGAAGACAGCTGCCCAGAAGGCATTCCGTTTCTGAGCGTGGCTTTCAGATTATGGCCAATGGAGGCTCGTTGCTGTAGAACACCTGTCAGAGACGCTTTTATTTTTCTACAAGGAGATGGTCTCTTTCATCAGATTTCATTGCACTTCAGGAAAAGATTCATTTTAAAATGTGGGTAAAGTGGCATCTGCTCTTAGGATTCATCCTCACCCTCCTTTTCAAGGGGGAAGCCCGTTTAGAGCTTATTTATGACATGGTTCTGTGGTCCAGAGAGAACCTGCAGCGAAGTGCTTCCAAAGGAAGGACTTTCCCAGATGTTTGGTTTGTCACTTTCTGTTGGGAAATAAATCTAAAGATTTAATTGTGAACTTTTTACGTGAATATAATCAACGGTAGGAATTCTTGCGGCAGACTTAAAAGTGTTTAAGCTAACATTGCGCACGCACGTAATGAATGAAACCTGCGAAACTTTCCTGTTGAAATCTGTGGCATTTATCTGTGAACAATGGAGGGGATTATTGATGCTGACTGGTGTTTAGAGAAACGGCTTTCAACTCGGCGTTCATTAGAAGCACCGTAAAGTACGCACAACGCAGGTACTTTCTCACATCTGCAAACTACACCGAGGAGAACTGTTAGAGGACAAACTTCATTTCGCAGACGGTAACTTCACGGTGTAACAGCGCGCCGACCGGAATATCAGTTAATTTTCAAAACATTTTATTCCACACCAATTAGCTCGGGTCCTGGAGGGCAAAATGACAAGAGGTTACTCGTTCGCTATGTATTTAGTTAATTGAAAATCGCTCAGATTGCTTTTACAGTTGTTATTAAAAAGTAGAATCAGTGTTGCCAGTGCTCAACCATAATTGGAACCCCGGGGAATTAAATATTTAGCATTAGTAATGTAACAGCACTTAGGACACAAATTTCTATTTTCGTAATGAAAGCTATACACTGTGAGTGCAGGCGGCTGAAACGACAGCTGTGACAAGTGAAACGGCCTGGGATATTTCAATAAGACACCTCATTGGACAGCGAGTCTCACCACATTACTCGTTTGTAAGAGATCTGCAAGTTTAATTCCCAGCAGAAACCCGTTACCCAAGTATTTAGATTTCTAATTGCATGCAGGATGAACAGTTGGGCAAATGTCTTGCCTTAAGTGGCTGAAATGTATAGTGCTTTCCAAATAATCCTCTCTAAGTTCATGCCTTTGTCAATTTAAAAATAGCGGGACTGTCAGGGAAGAAAGTTCTTGTTTGTTTTAAGTTTAATTACAGCTTAGGCATAAATGCGTTCAGTGTTACAGTGAGGAGTGTTGGCTATGGGGCCCTAATGAGCTGCAGGGGTAGACGGCTGGAGACCCTAAGGGATTCCCTCCGTAAATTAACTGGATAAAAGTACTTGGTTAGGATATACTGGTAGTTGATGGCTGAGCTGTTCTTAAAACCCAGTTATAGAGCTGTCTCTCACTCCTGTTTTCATTCTAAACAGCCCTGCCGAGGCTCTAACAGCCGCCTGTTACAACTGTTCAGCTTGTCAAAATGTATTATATTACTCCACTAATAAACAGTAAGAAAGGGTATTTGACTTCATTTCTCGTGTTCAGAGGGGATCAGGTTGATCAACACAACTGGCTTAGGTTGGCCTTATTTTAATTTGTTTATGTCATCTAAGTAATATTGCAGGGCCATGATTTGAATTTTTAAAACGTTCTTTCTCTTGGGGATGTAAAACTTACGAAAGAGTATGAACAATGGGAACAGTTAATGGAGGCTATGTATTGTCATCTTTGTCCTGGGAAGATGGATGACTTTGACATTCTTAGCCCGCACTCAAAGTATTTGGAAAACCATAGCTAAACAGACATTCTTCAAAGCATAACTTAGACTAATTCCTTTACCAATCGTTCTCTCTTCCCTTGGAAGAAAACACTTGCAGAACAAATTGACTTCATAATTCTCTTTTGCTCACCATTGTTTCTGTGTCAGTTTTGTGGGAATTTATTCTAACTGATCAAGATTTCCTTTCTGTTTTGTCATTTTTAGAACAATACACGCTTAAATGAATAGAGAAAAGAAAACTGTAGATGTTTATTTGATAAACTCTCCCTTTTATCCTGCTTCTCCATCCCACTTTCCTTTGCTAACAGTTTGATGAGACCAAACATTCGTAACATTTTTGTGCGTATTATACAGCTACATATGTGCATACATTAATTCATATAGCATATTGAAAGATCATGCTTTGGATCATTCCCTAGAAGCGTGTGACTTGCTTTCCCCCCTACCTAATTTATCATAGACATCTTCCTATATTGGTGCCCAGATCTTTCTCATTCTTTTTTTAAAAAAATATATTTTATTGATTTTTTACAGAGAGGAAGGGAGACGGATAGAAAGTTAGAAACATCGATGAGAGAGAAACATCGATCAGCTGCCTCCTGCACACTCCCCACTGGGGATGTGCCCCCAACCAAGGTACATGCCCTTGACTGGAATCGAACCTGGGACCCTAGAGTCCGCAGGCCGATGCTCTATCCACTGAGCCAAACCGGTTAGGGCCTCCCTCATTCTTTTTAATAGCTAACTGTCATTCCAAATTTTGGAGATAAAAATTAATTTATCTGTTGCCTACTGATGTCATTTAAAGTCATCTCTAATTTTTTGCTGTGGTGAATAAATGTTACGATGAACTTCTGAGTGTGCCTATGTGTGTGTGTTTTCAGCATGTATGTGTGCATTTTTGTGCACATGTCATAATCATATATGGAACTAACATGTATAGAGTGACTCCTTTGTGCCAGGCAATATCCAAAGCAGAGCACTCTACATATATGTGTGGTGTGAAGAAAAGGTCAACCCTTTTATTTTCCAGTAGTGCCCACAGATTCATTTTGCAGATTGTCCATTTTTTGTCTCCATGGTTTGAAACATAATCTTTGTCACATGCGATACCCCCCCCATACATGCCATGTCTTTAGAATATTCCATTTGTCTAATCCTGCAGTGTCACACTTGTTTGCCTTATAGCATAAATGCAAGTTTAAATCTTTAAAATTAAAAAGAACCTACAAAATACTCTTAATCTCAAATTATAAAATGTGACAAATTTATATTAACAAACAGCAATAGTTTAGAAACATAGAAAGTTGCAGTAAGCAAGGATGACCACGTCCTAATTCCTGTGAATAATCTCCATTCCACGGAGAAGGAAATTCGGGGTGCAGGTGGAATTAACGTCACCAGTCAGTTGATCTTAAAATAGAGAGATGAACCCGGATGACCCAGGTAGGCCCAGTGCAATCACAGATGTATAAGAGGGGGCAGGAGAGCCAGAGCGAGGCCACACGAGAGCCCGCTGAGCCTTGTTCTTGCTGGCCTTGCAGCCAGGGAACGGAGGCCTGCGCCGAGGATGGCGGCCACCACTGGTCACCGGACAAGGCGAGAGACAGATTCTCCCCCGCGGCCCGGGAGGGTCAGAGCTCTGCGGACACCTGACTTTTGCCCAGTGAGACCCAAGTTGGACTTCTGACCGAGAGAATGGAAGGCAATCACTTTTTGTTGTTGAAATTGTCCCGTTTGTGGCAATTGATTACAGCAGCAATGGAACACGAATGCAAAGGCGAAAGGTAAAAATTTCCCAGTTTCTGCTGCCCTCTCTAGACCCCTAGCCCAGGTCCAGCCCCGGCAGGTTATAACTCTGCACAGCGGTGGGGTGTTCCCTCGGTCGGGGGAGGGTCATCTGCAGAATTGTGACTGCGGAGATTTTTATAGTATGTTTTGCTATCTGTTAAGTCCTCTTTCTTTCTCTTCTAAAGAAATTTTAAGTTTTCATGCATTTGCTTTTTCAGGTGAACATTTATTGACTCAGTTGCGTTTATTTATTGGTGTTTGTTTGTTTGTTTTATACATAGCTAATGAATGGAGCCACCTTGGGCAATCTATTGAGCTTTCCTTCGTAGTCACTGTTAACTTTTGTAAACATTCCCTGTATGCTTAAAAAGAAAATGTATTTCCTCCTTCGGAAAATTACCTTAAGTTTGGTTATTCAGCCAAGCTTGCTAATTGTGTTTTCCAATACTCACTACCTTATTTTCATATACTTCACCTTTCGTTTCTGAGAACAGAACTGTGGTTTCCGGAAGTCCTCTCAGATTTGCAGTAATTTGTAGATTGTGATGCTTTGTTTTTTTCGTGGGGTAAAGGTTTTGTTTCTCTGTCTCTTCCTGGTGGGTTGTGCCTTCACTTGGTCTCTTCCTCCAGGCCTCAGCCTACCTCGCCCCTCCTGAGAGGCCCTCCTGGTTCTCCAGTTCCTCTGTCCTTCTCACCTCGCCTGCTCTCTCGGCTGCCGGCTCCGTCCCCCACCACTCTTCACCCCAAGCCTGGCACCTGCTGGATAGATACCTGCGGCATGAACCAGGCGAACCAAAGCAGGGCTCAGGGGTCCTAGACCGGAGGGAGTGGGGCGCTTTCCAGGGCACATGCTGCCCGGAGGAAGCCGCTGTCAGAGCACCTGTGTCGCCTTGAAATGGGCCGGATTCCTCCTCTTTATGGAGGACGGAGGTTGGGATCCGTGCACAGAGACCGATCCCGGCTGCTCCTTGGTCCCCCCACATCTGTGCTCCAGCTGTGCTGACGTCAGCCCTGTCCCTTGGGGAGCCCAGCGTGCAGATCAGCGCGCTGGGGTTGAAAGTTGATAATGTTAATCACGGGAGCTCCCTTTGGGGGAACATCCGCGAGGTGCCAGGCACCACGCTTCCTGTGTTAACTTGCACCATCTCACTTCATTCCCAGAAAGACGGGGAGTGTCCCTGTGATGCCCATTTTTACGCGCGAGGAGACGGAGGCTCGGAGAAGACGGGTCCATGGGATTCGGGGTGAGAGAACAAGGACCTGCACCCGGTCTGCCCGACGCCGGAGCTTCTGCGGTGAAGTCATGCTCTTCGGGTTCCGGTGGTGCCTCCTCCCTCTCCACCCAGCCTCGCAGAATCACTGGCTGCAGCCCTGACCTCTCAGAGGAAGACACGATCACAGAGGCCACCTGTCCGGCCCGAGGAGAGAGCGGGAGCCTGGCACGGGCCGACCCCTCGCGTGGAGCCGCCGGACTCGCATCTGCAGCTCACAGGCAGAGAGGACAGGAGAGCTGGCCCGGGGCCGCTTTGGCAAGTGCCCACGGCCCTTCGTCCGAGGATGAAGGAAGCCATCCTCTGGAGTCACTTAAATAAGCACAGCGCCTGGCCCCAGAAAGACACCGCGGGGCCTCCTCGGACATCTATTTCCTCTGACTGACAGTGAGTGTGAAACACCTAACATTTTAGCGGCCAGCTTCCCCCATCCCCTGGCCAGCCGGCTTCGCGTGCAACGCAGCTCTCTGGCAGCCCGAGACTGCAGACTCAGACAGTGTGGAATAAACATCAGGACGCGGTCCCAGGATTTACTGCCCCATACACATTTTGGACTAACATCACAGGACATTTCTCCCCACCCGCCCCCCAAGTTCATCCACCCTGTTCCTGGGGTTTGAAAAGATTTGAGGGCGAGGGAAGTGCCATTGAAGCAAGTAGTAGATTTCACATCCTGGCGCTGTTTGTGTAGCTGCCACATGTGGCCCAGTGTTAAGTAGCTGAGCATTACTGCTCGCAGCCGCCCAAGTCAGCCCTCACCTTCTGGGGAGGTGACTTCAAACAGCCTCTCAAGGGCGCAGAGAGGAGGAGAGGAGAGGGGGTTACCACTCAGGCTGCAGGAATGCACTCTCCCGTCTGTGCTTTCTGCTTGTTGGAGCCATTCCGGAGCCGGAAGTGCAGAGGAATTTGAAGGGTGCCTTCAGATAAGGCGCTGGAAACCCCGATATTTGCATGAGAGCTGGCATTCTAGCAGCGACGTCTTTTAAAGCATAACTAAAGGTAATTTTCAGTTGGGAAGGTTCCCAGATCAGGAGTGCAAGGTATGCTGAATCAGGGAAGAGAAGCTTTGCTGTGAAGAAAAGCTCACCTCTGCATTTCTCAGGACAAAAGCAGCCACTTGGAGCGTCTCCCGCAGCACACCGGTTCTGCTGGGGCAGGCGGAGCCCGCCCGAGGAGGCTGCTCACAACGCATGTGCAACTAGCCAGTGACAAACCCTCCCCGTGCAGAGCTGGGAAGCCTGGATGAGGCTGGAAGAAATAGAAGCTGGCTGGACACGCCGACCTGGGGAGCCCTCACGGTGGCTAGCCTGTTGAATTTTTTCTTTTTTTTCCGTTGCCTGGTAGACTTTCTCAGAGCTTGAAGAGTTCTTGAAGGTCTTCCAGATAGCTTTCTGTATTGAAAATAAAGCAATATACTCATTATTTTGTTCTACTGCATATGTTGAATGAAAACTTAAAGTAATATAATAATTGATTTTTTAAAATTTGCACACTTTTGGCAGAATTTTTAGCACAGTGCAATACGTTACTACCACATGAGCCAACCCTACTCCGACCGATTTAATAGACGTAGTATCATCTGTTAGATTAAATGAACAGTAATAGACTGATTTTTGTTTTAAAATGTAATCAGCCAACAAGTATTCATTGCTGGGCCCAGTGCGTAAGGAACGTTGCTAGGCACTGCGGGGCCCACGTGTGTGGGAGGAAATGACTAACCGAGACCATTGTTGTGCTATCTCTGCACAGGGATACACACTGAGTCCTGATTATTGGGGGGTCGGGGGCCGGGGGGGGGCCCTCTCAGGGCACCTGAGCGTGGAGTGTGCAGAGCCGGGCTAAGTCGGTCTCTCTGTCACTCTGCTTTCTGTCTCGCTCCCCTTCCTAACCCAGGGGGTGGACTGTGGTTGGAGCTGAGCTGCTGGTTTCTCTGCATGAAGCTAATTGGCCCATTTGGGGCTTTGACCCAGATTCCTAACTTCTTAGCACCTTTCTTTAGACAACTGGGCTGGCGCTTTGGATGAGAATGCTAATTGTCAATCATGAGGAAAGGCTTTCTCCAGTCCCCCCTCCCTCCACCCCAGGGGGTTGGGGGGGGGGGCGTTCACTGGCTGCTGCGTCCGCACCACACCCACTCACCAGCCTGTGAGTGCTGGTCCTTGGGGTTGACTCAGAGCTGGGCGCGATGGGCCAGCCTGTCCCCTGTCACATTGCAGAGAACAGCTCCTGGGTAACGAGTCCCTCCCTCCCCCTGGCCCCCGACCCAGCCTCCTCCACGATACTGTGCATTTTTCCTGGCTTACACAGCACCTAGAGATTGCAAAGCCACTGATGCGCCTATGTAGCCACAAACCTATTTGGTAGCAGCCGAAAGGTGACCATCACCATGATGTGACTTTAGAACCCCAGCCCCACACACAGTCATACTCGATAAAGTACCGAGGGCTGGGGCTTCAGCACACACACTTGGGGCGGGGGACACGAGCCGGCTCATAACTGTCGAGGCTTCACAGTTTTGGAATTGAAGATGCCGTCCTCATCTCCATGTCAGAGACCGACAGGTTCCCAGAAGCCGCGTCGTTTGCTGATGACCTTCACGCAGCGAGCCTCGCACACCCTTCACATGCTCTGTGTCTCCTGCCCGGCTGTGCGTGTCACAGGTATGTCGTTTATGGAGTGAATTTTATTTATTTATTTTTTAAAAATATATTTTATTGACTTTTTTACAGAGAGGAAGGGAGAGGGATAGAGAGCTAGAAACATCGATGAGAGAGAGAAATCGATCAGCTGTCTCCTGCACACCCCCTACCGGGGATGTGCCCGCAACCCAGGTACATGCCCTTGACCGGAATTGAACCTGAGACCCTTCAGTCCGCAGGCCGATGCTCTATCCACTGAGCCAAATCCGCCAGGGCAATGGAGTGAATTTTAAAAGGCGCATTGAAATGCTAGATTCCTTTCACAGGAGGTGTATGTATCGACATGGTTAATGGAGCTTCTGCTACTTATCCGCTGTGTGACCTCAAGCAGGTGACTCCACCTCTCTGGCCCTTGGTTTTCTGATCTACAAAATGGGGACGTTAATAGTACCTGCCTGAGAGGGCTGTTGTGAGGAAGATGTGAGATCATCGCTGTCTTTCATGCTTGACCAGGAGCAAGGTGCCTGCGTTATACAACCAACACTAAATGGAATAAAGTCTTTAGAATAAATCTATACACAGCAGGTCTTCAACATGTGTTCATAGCTACCTTTGTAGTGTTCTGAGAAGGATGCATTTTCATAATGTGACCAAGGGGTTGTTATCATTCCGCTTTAACACGCGAAATTGTTCTTCCGTGCCGGTGGTTTGGGTCTGTGGGTTATCACAGTTAAGTATTATCGTTTTCAGGGTGCTCTGTCATTTTACGTCGGCCACGTGTCAGAGGCTGGTGTCATATGTCAGAAGTGGTTTCATTCCCTGGCTGTGCCTTACAAATGTGACAGCACCGAGAATCAGAGCAACACTACCCGCTCTCAACACGTTAGGTTTCCTTGGAGCTGGGTGACAGGCTGAGCTGTTGTAGCAGCTGGACAATTTGCTGGGGAGGCCCCTTCACGTCTAAGGAAGACTCGATATTAACAACCACAAAACCTAAAGGAAGGCGCGTCCTGCGGAGGAGTTTTGCTGATTTGGGGTGGGGCGGGGTGGGGTGGGGGCGGGGTGAAGGCCACCTCTGGGGTCTAGGCCTTCCCAGTGCTTCTCTCACCCCTCCTGTGGGGTACTCTACTCTGTGCTGTAGCAGCGGAACACTTGCTATCACAGTCAAACGGTGATTGTTAAAAATACAGTGACTGAACGTTTAAACATGTATTCTTTGCCCCGTGCCTACCCCTCCACAATGTGCTGGGTGAGTCTGGGAATATTGGGGTAAAAGGAAAGCGATTCCGGAAGGCGTGGTGAGCTCCGGGACACACTGGACTTCTTCAGGAGGAGAGAATCAGAAATTTGAGTGAAGACATTAAAGTTCTCCAAGGTAGCTGTAAATAGTGTATGATAGGGTTTTCAACTGCTTTGTAGGACACGGATCACCAGACTCGTAAGCTTTCACAGCTATGAAACTTAAACTGTGAAGGAAAACTCTGTCCTCTAAATGACAGAGCTTCTCAGAACCTTGGTGTGCGGATGAGTCACCCAGGGACCTTGTTAGAATGCAAATTCCCATTCGGTTGGGGGCTGGGGCAGCAGGACTGGGATCTGCATTCCTAACCAGCTGCCTTCCCTCAGACCCCAGGGGAGCTGGGATCTAAAACACACCATTCCTGGGCATTCCCCTGTGTTCCCTTCTTTCCTGCTCTGGGCACATGATCTGATAGTACTTCTGTGTGCACATGCACATGCTATATATATATATATGCCTTTCTAGTCCTGCTTCCTAAACCATTAATTGAGAGAGAGGCCATTGTTACAGAAAGCACAACGAACTTCATGAAAAACCATTGGGTACAAAGGCAAAGCATTGACAAATTGGTACTTTCTTGCTTGGTCACGCCTGATTTAAGAAAATGAACCCAAAATGGGTTTTCAGAATTGGAAATTGACTTCAAGCCCATTTAAATCGTTCCCTTCAACATATTAGCAGTGGAGTGCATAAACCAATATTTATTTTCCAATCAAAGGTTTGCAGCAGATGAATGAAAGAGATGAAGGAAGAATGCTTTGAAATGTTTCTAGTGCCAGACATGGAAATAGGATATTTTATTTCTCTAAGTGGCAGGCACAGGCCTCACCTACTAGTGAAAGCCATCCTGCCCCGGGAGGAGGAAATGGCCTGAAAAACGGACCATTGTATAAAAGCCCAAGGCCAGCGCCTCGCCGCCAGCGATCACAATACGTATTCTTCGGCGGGAAAAAGTCGAAGAGCCAGCTACGTTCGGGGAGAATCTATTCACAGAATAATTGTGTAGGGAAGGCCCCTTAAGAAGAGCTCCCCAAATTCCATTATCTGGACTGTCACTCGCCACTTGGGGTTGTCTTGGCGCTGTGTGTTCTCATGAATTACCCGGCTGTTTGTTTTCCCTTTATCAGTCATCACCCTGTCAGCTGGGCCATTCATAACAACTTTTGGCAGCTCATCAGGGGAGTTCAGAGCTTGAATAAGGACCCTATCAACTCTCACACCTCATTGTGTGAAGCTGTTTACCCGCCTTGCCTTTTTCTGTAAATATTACAAGCCGTTCCCTGAAAGGAGAGAAGTGCGAAAGCAAAATGGCCCAACGGCCTAGCAGTTGGCCGACATGGCGGATCTGGGCTGGCCCGAGGGCTGGCAAGTCCTGGGGTTTCGTTTATTTGCCTGAAGGGTACCTCGCCGCTGGTCCTCGCGTCCCGGGGACGCTGGTTAATTAGGCGGTGTTTAATCTGCCTTAACATTTGTGTCAGTTGGGCGAGAGGGAGACTTTGTAATGAGGGAGCACAGATTGGCTCCCTGTCACCGTCCGCTCTGCCTCTAATTGAACGCACACGTTCGCAGCGCCTTGTCACACCGGACGCCAGTCCCCCCCACTGTCTTTCATGCTTCACTGGGACCAGGGTGCCCGTATTAAACAACCGCCGGCCAATGGACTCGGCCCCCTGGACTTAGCGGGTGCAGTGTCTGCCGGGTTCACCCATCAGAACGAATTTCCTATTTGAAATGAATGTCAACAATTCTGCATAGAAGCTAACACCACCGACCTGCAAGCGGGGGTGATTTTTCCGTGGTCTTTATATGTTTACGGAAGTTAGCTATGCCCGGATTTCAAAGTGTCAAATAGTCCCTAATTGTGTGAGAAAAACAGTGGTCTCCCCAGAGGCAGTCACTTTGAGCTCTCTCGGCCGATGCCTTAGAAAATCATTTCACAGTGAGAAGTAGGTTATTTGCCTGTTGTTGAGGGTTTCATGAATTGGAATCATATTGTGACTTGCTCTTTTCACTTATTAAGGTGTTTTTAAAAATTACTCTTTTTTAAAAAGCAAGATATAACTTACCTGCAATGAAAGGCACAGATTTTACTTTACTTTTTTAAATGTATTTTTATTGATTTCAGAAAGTAAGGGAGAGGGAGAGAGAGAAACATCAATGATGACTGAGAATCATTGATCCCCTGCCTCCTGCACACCCCACACTGGGGATGGAGCCCAAAACCAGGCATGTGCCCTGACCGGGAGTCAAACCGGTGGCCTCTTGGTTCCTGGCTTGACACTCAACTGCTGAACTGCTCCAGCTGGGCAAAGGCAGATTTTAAATGTATAGCTCAGTGGGATTTAACAGATGAATACACCCAAGTCACTGTCCACCAGTCAAACCATGGAGCATTTTCATCACCCCAGAAAGTGCCCTCACCCACCTTTGCAGTCAGTCCGGCCCCCTCCAGGAGGCGATCCCTTATTTCTCATTATTCCTCTCATCATAGTCTGTGGTTCTAGATTAGATTTCCTGCTCTATATGGCATCATGCAGTAGGTCCTCTATTGTCTACTATGGCTCAGGATGATGTCTTTGAGAGTCATGCAGAAATTGACTCCTATTAACTACCAAACAGCATTCCTTTGTATGAGTCTACCACAGTTGGTTCATCAATAAAGTTAGTGGTGGTCATTCCAGTTGTTCCCAGTTTCAGGCTATTGGGTTGTCTTTTTATTAATGGCTAGAGGCCTGGTGCACAAATTCGTACACAGGTGGGGTCTGGCTGGCCTTCCCCATCAGGGCTGATTGGGGGCGGGGCCGGCCAGGGGGAGGGGCTGTGGATGGTTGGCCGGCTGGCCCTGCCCCCTGATCCCAGTTGAGGGGACAATTTGTATATTAGCCTTTTATTATATAGAATTGGTAGAAGTTCTTGTCTGTTCTAGATAACAAGTTCCTTGTCAGAAATAGGCTTTGAAAATATTTCTCCCCATCTGTGGCTTGTCTTCTCATTTTTTAAATGGTGTCGATTGATAAGCAGAAAATGTTAACTTTAATTATGTCCAATATATGTGTTTTTATGATTAGTGCTTTTTGTGTCCTATCAAGGAAATCCTTGCCAACCTCCAGATCATGCAGATCATCTCCTGTTTTCTTTCAAAACACATTGAAGCATTAATAGTTTCCAATTGTACACTAAGGTCCTTCTATCTCAATCTAATTTCTGTGTACGGTGTGAGGTAGAGGTTGAGGTATTGTTGTTTTATAAATATGGATATCCAAGTGTTCTATCATCATTTGTGGCAAAAACTTTTCTTTCCATGTAGTGTGTTTGTGTGTGTGTGTGTGTGTGTGTGTGTGTGTATGCCTTTGTTCAGAATCAATTGACCATACCTATGTGGATCTATTTCAGTACTTTTATTCTATTTCGTTGATTTGTTTGTCTATTTTATAAGTGTCTTACTTATTGTGGTTTTATAGTAAGTCTTCAGAACAGGTAGTATAAGTCTCTAAAAGTTTCAGGCTATTTTGACAATTTATGCATTTTCATGTACATTTTATAATCAGTTTGTTAATTTCTAATAAAAGTCTCCTGAAATTTTGATTGGGATTACAGTGAATCTATATATTAAGTGGGGGAGACTTGATACTTTAGCAATATTAGTTTTTCCAATCCATAAGCATGTTATATGTTATAAGTTTTTATTTGGTATCTTTCTGCAATATATAATAGCTTTTAGAATTTAAGTTTTATAAATCCTTTTTAAAATTTATTTTTGAGTAGTTTATATTTTTCCCAAGATTATAAGTGAATGGCTTTTTAATTTTATTTTCTTATCATTTGCTGGTAAAAATAGAAATGTGGTTAAAATTTGTACATTGGCCTTGATTCCTCTGACTTTGCTAAATTCACTTTCCAGTTCCTGTAGTTATCTGGTGGTGGTGGTGGGAGGAGATACGTTTTTTAAGATGTTTTATGTATACAATCGTGTCATCTTTGCTCTTTTATTGTTAACTTGCGCACTTTTTTATTTCTCACAGTGTTACTAGCAAGGACCCCCAGTACGCTGTTGACAGAGGTGGGGAGAGGGGCACTTTCTCCTGGACTCAGACGCATTCGGTCTTTCTCCATTCACATGCCATTACCTGTTGGTGTTTGTACATGCCCATCACCAGGCTGATGAAATTCTTTTCCTTAGCTTATTTTCAGAAATTTTTTCACGAATGCGTGTGAAATATTGTCAAACGTGTTTTTGCATCATTTGAGATGCTGTTGTTTTCTCTCTGATTCTGTTAATGTGATGACTTATAAGTATTGATTTTATAATGTGAGACCCATCTTGCAATCCTGGCATAAATTCCATTTATAAATGACATTTATCCTTTTCATATAACACCGAACTAGTGTTTCCGCATCACACTGAGGCCTTTATATATACTCACGCAGGGTACTGGTCAATGGTTTTCTTTCCTTAAAATGTCTTCGTCAGGTTTTGGTATCAGGGTTACGCTGATTCTAGTTTTTCCTTAAAGCGTGGACCGAGTTTCTGAGTAAAGCCATCTGCACCTGGGGTTTTCTTTGTTGTGAGTGTTTTAATTATGAATTCAACTTTGAAAAGACATTGAGCTATTTGAATTTTTCCATTTCTTCCTGTATAATTTTGATCAGATATACTTTTCACGGTATTTGTCCATTTGCTCTAAGCTGTTGAATTTATAGGTAAAAAATCATTAAAATCATTCATGTTTTTGTCTTCTTGGGAAATTGAATCCCTTTTCATTAGGTCATAGCCCTTTATCACGGGTATAAAATTGTCTGGTCAACTTTAATTTTAATGAAGCTACTTCAGCTTTCTTTTAAATAGTGTCTGTATGGTATATCCTTTTTCATCCTTTTATTTTTAACCAATCTATGTTTTCATGTTTAAAGTGGTATTTCTGTAGGTTTGGCTATAGTTGGGTCTTGCTTTTTATCTAATCTAACAATCTATGTTCGATTTAGTGTGGTTTATATTTAATGTGATTATTGATATGGTTGAATTAATATCTATCATCTGAACAGCTGTTTTCCATTTGTTCCATTTGTGCTTTATTTTCCCCCCTTTTTGATGAATTGAAAATATTTAATGACTTAATGTTATTTCCACTATTGAATTATCATGTATACCTGTTTTGAAAAAAGTGTAGTATATCCTATTTAATCAAAGTCTACTTTTAAATAATACTCTGTTCCGTGTCTAGAGTGAGGGCAGTAATATATCCGCTATTTCTCCCTCCCACTCTTGTTCTATTGTTGCTGATATTTATTCTTACATATGCTATAAATATACAATGCTGCTATTTTGCCTTAGATAGGTATCTTTCAAACCAATTAAAAATAATAAAAAATGAATTTTAAACACTGTTTACTTTTCGTTATTCCTGCCTAGTGCCCTTAATTTCCTTGTGTAGATTCAGATTTCTGTCTGCTGTTATATTCCTTCTGCCTGAAGATATCTGTTTTAACGTTACTTACAGTGTGGGTCTACTGGCAATGAATCACTCAGATTTAGTTTTTTTTGTTTTTTGGGGTCTTTATTACTACTTCCTTTTGAAAGATATTTTTGCTGGGTATGGAATTCTGACTTGACAGATTTTTGTTATTACTCAGCAACAGAGATATCACTTGATTATCTTCTGTCTTCCATAGTTTCTCCTGAGAAGTCTATTGTAATTCGTATTGTTAATTATTATTCCTCTACATGGAATGTGTTTTCTTTCCACTACCTTCATCATTTTCTCTTTGTCTCTGGTTTTCAGCAGTGTGAACATTATGTGCCTGTGGTGTGAGGGTCCTTTTGGGAGGGAACATTGATTCTGCTTGATGTTGTTCTAGGCCAGCGATGGCGAACCTTTTGAGCTCGGCGTGTCAGCATTTTGAAAAACCCTAACTTAACTCTGGTGCCGTGTCACATATAGAAATTTTTTGATATTTGCAACCATAGTAATACAAAGACTTATATTTTTGGTATTTATTTTATATATTTAAATGCCATTTAACAAAGAAAAATCAACCAAAAAAAATGAGTTCGCATGTCACCTCTGACATGCATGTCATAGGTTCACCATCACTGTTCTAGTGTCCTGAACTGTTGTTTTGTATCTATCATTTTATTTTTGAAAATCCTATGTGTTATTTCTTCCTATCTTTTCTTTCTGGATGCCAGTTACACATAGGTTAGATCTTTTGGTTCTGTCCCATATCTCTTAGATGCCCAGTCGTGTTTTTCCTTCCACACTTCATCCTTCCCTTCTACTCAGTAACCGATGCCAGAACTGCTATAAACCCAGGTATACAGGTGATGGTCTGACAAGTCATTTTGTTATTGTTGTCTCCTTTAAATTCTCCAAATCCTGTGGGTGTATCCCTTTAAACGATCGTTTCCTGCCATTTTAGTGACCTTGAAAGGGACTGGAAAGAGATGCATGTGTGCAATCTGCCACCTTTACCTGGAAATCAAGTTTGAATTTCATTATTTAAATTAATCTTAAGTGGTTAAAAAAGACTAACTTAAGTGAAGATAAGGGCTAAATTTTCTATTATTTTAGAAATTAATTAGTGTATTATATCTTACTTTCTCATTTTAATGGACGTTTGTATTCTCAAAACCAGAAAAAAATCACAATAATAATAGCTACATTTATTACACACTTACCAGGTGCCAGTGTTGTAAATGCTGCTCTGTATTACCTAATTTAATTCTCACAGCAACTTTATAGCGTAAACATGCTCCTTATCTTTGTTTTTACAATGAGCATAAACTGTGGACCAGAAAGATGAAGTCATTTGTCCAGTGATGCAGAAAGAGAAAGCGACAGACTTGGCTTCTTAACTACTGTTCTCTATCTAACTGCCTTCAACCAATGGGAAGATAATGGATTCTAGATCATTTCTTTGCTATCCTTCATGTATTACTGTTACCTCTCTGAGAATCTTAATGTATTAATCAGCAGATACATATTTAATGCCTGTTATGTGCCCCAAACTATTTTTTTTTACAAATACAGTAAACGAATAATTATATGGCAGAGCAGTTTCTCTCTCTTCGAAAGAGAAGGCCCTCCTCCCCCAAATCTGAAAATAAGTTTTATGGACTAGAATGGTATCACCATTCGGACACAGGGAAGCTTGATTCAGTCTGGGTGCTCAGAAACTGTGGAAACACATACAAAATAATGATGTTATTCAAGAGTTTGGGTAGCTTCCGGATTACCCCTGCTGCTTTTCACTTCTTCTATACCTCTTTCTTTCTTTCTTTCTTTCTTTCTTTCTTTCTTTCTTTCTTTCTTTCTTTCTTTCTTTTGTTTTTTTTGCATTCTAATTCTTAGCTATTGTACTGCTTGTACGTATTCCTTCCACAGAGCAAAATAAGAGGATTATTTATACCAGAAGCTCAAAAGATCTGTTCAGAGATTTCAGGAGTTGAGGCCATTTGGGTCCATAAAGAATCTCGACCCAGCGGGGAAACCTGTGACAGAGGTGGGTGCATGCTCCCTCTGTTTCTCTCCCTTGCGTTAGGAATTTGTGAGTGACATTGTGTGGGTATCAGAGTGTGTGGGAAGAGGGGGGATGGGAGGGGGCTCCCCACTTTTAGAGAATTGCCCTTTACCAAGGATTTATGCCAACGGGGGAACAGAGGCCCACCCTGTCCGCTGAGGATGAGACAATGGGATATGACTCAGTAATGAGTTCTCGTTTGTCAGGTGTCAGCTTGCTGATATGGTCTAAGGATAAGGTGTTCAGTAATTCTTATAAAAATTGGAAATAACTCTACCATTTACACTGTAGTTTCTCTTATAGTTTCATAGCTGTTTTAATTCCGTCCAGTTGTACGAGGAGCCTGAAATACGTAGTATCATTTCTGTTTTATAGATGAGTAAGTGCCTTCTAAGAAGTGAGACGGCCATGTCCAAGGTCACGCAGCGACAGTATTTGACTTCAGACTTGAACCCAAGTCCTCGCTCTGGACTTACCTTTTTCCCCCCCATGAAACTAAGCAGCCTGTCTGTTGCACAGAATCCATTTATGTTGACTATTAAGTGTGTTTGCCCACATGCTGGACTCTTAAGCATTTGTATTTATAAGATAAGTTACTGATCAGTCGCAACAGCTAAAAGAGGCAGCCTGTTTTTTTAAATTAAGCCTTTTGTCTCCTTTTGGTCCAACAGGAAGCGAAGTTGGTCACACGGATGCACCAAGTCCCTCATGATGTCAGTGAGGCCGCATCCACGCTCTGGGTGGAAAGATGCTGAGTCTTCCAGACGCTGGTTGTCCAGAGGAGGCCGGGGTTCTCCTGGGGAAGCTCGAGGTCGTGCTGTTTCAACCAGCCCCTCCACGAGGGTCCAACGGGGCTCAGCAGGAGGAATGGGGGCCCACAGCGGTGGGACTGGAAGGGCGGCCTCGCCAGGAGGTGAGGCTTGACTCCCCTTTCATCTCATTTACACTCCAGGTTGCCACCTGGGGTCAGTGCTGCTGATTCTGACGCTTGCACTCATGGTCTTTGTTTTGAATGGAGAGAAGCGGGGAAATACTGATACCCCGGTAGCTGCAGAGGAAATCTGCCCAACGTGGATCTCTTCCTCCATCGTGAATGGCATCCATCTCTACAGTCCTCCAAAGGCATCCCTGTGGCCGGCTTCCTGTCTGGGTGGGATGGCGTCACCCTTTAGGAGTTTCCAGGTGACACTATGTTTCAGGAAGAATTCTCTCCAGAAACCATTTTTAAAATTATTATCAAATTCCTTAATGAAGAATCAGAAGCCAAACCGGCTAGGCTAAGCGCGCAGCCAGCCAGCTGGCACGGGCTGATCCGGTCCCTCCCGGATCTAAACCGTCCGAGAGGATCGATGAGAGAGCTCAGCGTCTACCCCAAGCCATCCAGGGCGAGGGCACAGCCACGCCAGGGTCTCCCGCATATCCCAGTAGCCTGAGCCTGTCCGGTGCTTTTCGAAGTACATGAGCCTGTGATCCTTGCCCACAGCCATGCCCTCTGGTGAGAGCGAGATGGTACCAGTGACCCTGCCCCTGGGCCACACCCTCTCAATAGCCTCCTTTTGTTCCAACAGCAATAGTTTGAAACAAGGGCTTGAATAGATCATGCACCTTGTCCAGGGTCACCAGCTACTAAACGGCAAGGTAGGACTTGAGCCTACTTGTTGGGCCCCAACCATCTCTTCATTGTCGCTACTGAGATCATGGTGACATTACACCTCTTCGCCTTCCGGGGAGTCTTGTTTAAAAAAGAAACCGGAGGAAGATTCCATGACTATATCTATCTAGCATTTGTGTACAATATTTACATTTACAAAATGCGTTCCAGTGTAATAGAACAGACAGGTTTTTATTTGGGTATATAATTGTCCTCTCTTTCATATTTGTGTATGCCTGTGATTTATATTGTAGTATGTTTTCCACGTGGTCTTCTGAGATCATGCACAATGGTAACAGATTTAAAATAAGATTAATAAAGATTACTCCGTATCACTCCCAGGGAAAACCGACCGGGGCCACCCAGTCTCCGCGTTTCATAAACATGATGCAGAAGAGCCTAGACCAGTGATGGCGAACCTTTTGAGCTCGGCGTGTCAGCATTTTGAAAAACCCTAACTTAACTCTGGTGCCGTGTCACGTATAGAAATTTTTTGATATTTGCAACCATAGTAAAACAAAGACTTATATTTTTGGTATTTATTTTATATATTTAAATGCCATTTAACAGAAAAATCAACCAAAAAAATGAGTTCGCGTGTCACCTCTGACACGCGTGTCATAGGCTCGCCATCACTGGCCTAGATGGTCCCCAGAACACGGTCTGTAAGGCCCGCTGCTCGTCCCTGGCGCAGTAAAACCGCATCCAGCTCCGGCTCCTCCTGCACATCGCGTGTCCACCTGCTGCCCTTCAGGCGGTCAGCTCGTCAGCACCCGGACGAGGAACTGCCGTGAGCATGAGCCTCACCCCTCGCTTTCCTCTTTGTTCCACAAGCCACACCCTTCACGGAACTTTCTCGTGGACGGTTTCCTTTGCCTAGAAATCTCTCCCCCGAGGGTCACACAGCTGCCGCCCTCCCTGCCTTCAGGCCTGAGATCCGGGGCGCCTTCTCCAGGAGGCCTGTCTGACCGCAGACCCCAACGCCCGGCAGTGGCGTGTCCGGGCGCTCTCCCCTCTTCCTCTTCAGCGGGCAGCGCTCTGTGTCAGGAAACCTGCCGTCCCGGGGTTTGGTGAGAATACGTTTTTAAAAAACGATTGGTAAGCTTATATTTTGTCATTGTCTGCCTTAAAGTTAATGAAGAAGGAATCTCGTCGGTGTAAGGTAAGCTGAAGGCGTGCAGCACACTCCCTGTCTTGTAAGGAATCGGATCCTCACTGTGGAGGGCATGCAAACCCTGGGCGGGGGCAGCGCCTCTATCGGGTCACCTTAGCAGCGGTTCCCAACCTCCCTAATGCCGCGGCCCTTTAATACAGTTCCTCCTGTTGTGGGGACCCCCAACCATCACATTATTTTCGTGGCTACTTCATAACTGTCATGTTGCTACTGGTATGAATCGTCATGTAAATATCTGATATGCAGGATGTATTTTCATGGTGACAAATTGAACATAATGACAGCATAGTGATTCATCACAAAAACAATATGTAATGATATATGTGTTTTCCGATGGTCTCAGGCGACCCCTGTGAAAGGGTCATTCGACCCCCAAAGGGGTCGCGACCCACAGGTTGAGAACCGCTGCCTTACAGGTTCTGAATAACTTGTGTGTATGATCAGCAGCTTATACAGTCTCGTGTCGCCTAATGACAGGGATGCGGTCTGAGAATGTCCCCGCGTGACTCAATTGCGCACACTCCCTAGGGACCCCCAGTGGACAGAGGCCGTGCAGAGACATAGCGTATTCAGCCATGGAGCGTTGGGGGCTATTTTTATTGCCGCAGAGCCTATCCTAGCCTGACTACTTCAAGGACTTTCCCCATGAACGTGCTCCTGCTAACTCCTTAGAACTTCAATTTACCTCCAGCCTGCTGGAGTGGAGAGAAGCAAATTCTTTGCCACACGAAGTGCCGGGCATTACCTGTCTGAGCTCCTCTAAGTCGGTAGACTCGGCGGGAGGGAGAAGAAAAGAGAACTAATGGCTGTTGACTTCCCGGGCCCCGGGCCGGATGCTGTGAAAGCTGCCAGCTTTAGGCGGGTTTGGTTTTTACAGCACAGATGAAGCGAGCTCAGGCGCGGGCGGGTGGCGTGTCTGAGAACCACCTGGCCAGTAGGTGTCAGAGCCGGCACCAGGGCACACGTCCCTCTGGCTTGGAGAGCCTGTCCTTTCCCTGCAGTGTAAACAGACAGGTGATGAGCTTTTAATCCCGCAGAGCCTGCTGCTATTTCACTCCTAACCGTGTTCCCTTTCACACTAACGTCCGTCGGATCACTTTACGATTCAGAGCTACTCTTCATAGAATTATATTGTTCATTTCACCCAGATTTGTTTTTCCTGAGCTTTGACACCCAAGGCGCTACAAATCTGCGTGTTTGTTTAAACTGCAACCGAGCACGCTTGTGTTTGTTTTAAGTCAGAATATCGTCGCCAAGATATCTGGAAATGCCTCCTCTGTAGCTACAGCCTTTTTTTTTAAGTGAGGTTTGCCCTTTATGGCAAGGACCTTGCAGGGATGTAGATGCCGTGGAGAGGAGGCAGGTTTCCATGCGAAGAGGGGAGCACAAGGGCCACATTCAAGTCACAGGCCTGTGGTCCACGGTGCCTTTTCAGCTGCCATCTCTGTGGCCACAGAACCGTACAACCCATCTCCTTCAGGGAAGCCCCAGTGCCAGCCGCTGGGCCTCACCAAAACACGAGGAGATGGCCCTGCAGACCCACAGCTCACCCGTCCGTCCGTCTGTCTGTCCGTGCTGGTGGGCTGGTCCCGGGGCTGGTCGAGTGCAGCCATGCCCTCCATGCAGAGGTGGGCGGAGGGCATGCCCCCGCCTGCATCCTCTGGCTCCTGGTTGGGACTCCCCCATGAGAACCAGGGTCGTCCTCAAGTGTAACAGTATTAATTATCAAGTCACTTTAAAACATGTGTGATGTATGTGCGCATTTATTCCACAGGAATGGGATAAAGATTAAATACTTAATGAATCCATTTTTCATATCAAGGGTATATTTGCCCTGCGCCTAACTCCATCTCTCTCCCTTCTGTTTCTCATGAGAAATATCGCTATCTTTATTATGTAATCAGTAATATATCATTCCTTCTAAGCAGGATCTAATTTTAGCCGCATGATGAATGGCCCAGGGATGTGTTCTGCTGCCCTCCAAGGAGAGGAATATACATCAGACCTGCTCAGGTGTGTGTCATTTCTCTATACCTGGGAGCTTTCAGCTCCCCGAGTGGCAGCCTGGATTTTCCTGGCCGAAAGCCCCAGGTTCTGCCTGTTTTTGTCCTGCGTAGACGGCGTTCGGAAACGGCCCTGTGTGGCCAGTAACCAGGTGTGTGAGCTCCCGGCGGTGAGCTGTGCGCTCTCCTGAGCCTGGGTTTATCGAAGCGGCTAGAGAACGACCAACTGGGCTTTTTTTTCGCCTTCATTGATGTGCAGGATCTGCTTTTGTAGGACTACACTCAAGTCCCCATCACCGTCTACCATCACTCCCCCCCCCCCCCCGCCCCAGTTTTGTCTTTCAGCAGTGATGTTTCTTGAAGATGCAGGAATCATCCCGCGTTGACTAGGAACATGAGGACTTGGCGACTTTGTTTTTCTTGAGCTTCCAAGAAGAAAATGTCATTTTCTGTTATGTGGCCTCTGAGTTGCACAGCTGCTTCTGCACATCTGCTTCTGCACATCTGCAGTGCCTGACATCTCGAGAACATGTTAATCTTAAACACTAGTTTGCACTCATCTTTAATTGATCTGTAGGAGAATCAGAATGGTGCCTTGTCTAATTTCAGATGTGAAAATGGAGGCTCAGAGAGATGAAACCACCTGCTCAAGTTCTGGGACATGGCCCGGTAAGGAATGAAACCTAAAACCCCACACCATCCCCCTGCCTTTGCTTAACTTCAAATGGCACCTGTATATGATGGAAGACACTGTTAGGAGTGTTTGGTTTTGCAACAATTATGTGTGTGTGTGTGTGTGTGTGTGTGTGTGTGTGTGTGTGTGTATAATTGATAACACCCTCTATTGTCCACTTTCCCTTCCTGTCTAACTTCTTCACTTTACATATACATATCTATATATATAAAAGCCTAATATGCTAAGTGTCTCCTCGGGAATTCAACCGATTGGTAGTTCGATCACTCGCTATGACGTGTGCTGACCACCAGGGGGTGGTGTGGAATAAAGGGAGGCCCCAGCCAGCAGCCACTAAGGACTCTACCTGTGCACGAATTTCATGCACTGGGCCTCTAGCTCTGAAATTCTTCGTGCAACTATTTTTGTGTGTGTGTGCAACTGTTATGTTTGTTGATTTTAACATGTACTTTTTTCTTGCATTAGTATCTCTGAAACTGTGATACATCTTGTAATCAAAGGGGTATCATAATCTAATTAGCAGGTTTTCTTTTTTTAGTGGTTACAGCAGATTGATTCTTAAAATGTGCCGAATCCTCTCCCCGCTCTGTCTGCATGCCCTGTGCAGTGTTACTTTGCAACTCCTCCCATCCAGTGGTCAAGTCCATGTCTCCTTGCCTTGACAATGGCCTCGTCTTTATTTATTGCTGTCGAGGACACTCTGGGTGCCCGACCCGTTCCCTTTTGCCCTGACAGTCATCCTGCCTGACTTCCGAGTGCACCTGCATTTCTCTGCCTGGGGCCGTCTCGGCTGCCAGAGCCCGTTCTGCCTGCTGTGATGCCTTAAAAATACGTTCGCAGATACTGACTCTCCTCCCTCCTCTCCCCTTGAATAGAAGCCAGACTTCATGACTTGACTTGCTTCTGTCACCGGGACGTGGTGGTATGACAGTGGGACTCTCATGACTCGGCCATGAAAGGCACCGTGGCCCTGCTGCCTCTCAGATCACTCACTTGGGCGGGGGGGGGGGGAGCGGGGGGAGCGAGCATATGCCTCAGAGGACAGACACTCCAGTGGTCAAATGGAGAGAGAGGTCTGCATGGGAAGCAACTGAGGCTTCCAGCCAAAGCCTGCACCGACTGGCCAGCCCTGTGAGTGAGCCATCCTGAAGCAGATCTTTCAGCTTCAGTCTTTACGTAACAAAAGCCCTGCCAATTCCTAACTGTAACCTTATGAGGAACCCTAAGCCAGAACCAAGTAGCAAAGCTATTCCAAAATTCCTGACCCTTACAGGCAATATGAGATACTAAATATTGTAATAAGCCATGAAGTTTGGGATAATTTATTGCACGTCAGTGTATAAATAAACCCATCCACGTGGCAGGCTGGAAATGCTGGCAGGTTCCCTCTGCAGGCATCCCTGAACCCATGACACGCAGTAGCTTGTATAAATACCACAGCTTCCCCCCCTCTCCCCCACCTCCCTCCCGGGAGTGCTGAACTCCTAGGGTTTCCCCAGGGGGTGAAGTTCCAGGCCCTCAGAATAGCACCTGGGTTGATAACGCCCTTTACCTCCCCCTCCCTTCCCTGCCTCACTTCCTCACTTCCCTGTTGGTGTTTCCTCCCATATGAGTTGCTCCCAAATCCCTGTCTCAGAATCTCCTTTTTAAGGGGGACAGGGATGAAAACAAGGTCAGTTCCATGCAATCATTGGCCAAGTTCTGTTCATTACTCATCAAATTTTCTTTCCCTGGCTTCAGCTTGGTAGCACCAACCCAAGCTGATGAAAAACAATACAAAACAACACACTCCCACTTTGCACTTACATAAATATGTATGAAAACATATCCTCCTCCCCAGTTTTTGACACAGTTTCAAACTCGAAACCGATATATATATATTCTCTAGTGCCAGCAATAAAGAGGATACTCGAACTCACAGTGGTAACGGGGGGTGGGATGAAAATGCTCACATGGATTCAGGCGGAGGGAGAGGCTGTAGCGGCTGAAGTTCTGTGAGGACAGTTCTGTGGGGCTGAGCCCCACAAGTGCCAGGGGCAAGAACCCGGCTGCCGCGTAAAGCCGGGGCCCTGCAGTCCTTCTCCACCGTCCCCTGAATCCGGGACCACAGACACCAGCCACTGGCCTAGGGAAATGCAAGAGAGCTGCTTGTTTTCCTGGCCCAGGATAGTAACAGAAATCACAGATAAATAAATAAATACATGAGGAGTCTGTGCCCAAAATGGTACAAGACCTGAATTTCTATTACGTGTGTGCTATGGGGACCCACAACTAAGAAATGAACCTAAACTCTTGCCCAGAATCGGCCAAGCTCAAAATACTCCCACGGGGACGCCATAGAGCTGCGGTCGCCAACCTTTGGGACCTCGCGGTTGCCAACTGCTGCGCTAGAGCACGTGAAGCTTCTGTGGACGGCCCTTTCCCTCTCATCTTCAGAAAGAAGAGTTAGCATAAAGACAAGAGAACAGGAAAGAAAAAAAAAAAACACAGAGGGCACCAGTAGACAAAACAAATGGGAGAATTTTCATCTCAAGAACTGGAAATAATAGCGCAATCTAAAAAAGACTTTAAGCGTTCTAAAACATTTCAAGACATAGAGACAGTAACAGTAATCACAAAGCAACTCACACAATTATCTGAAAACAGAGTTGGGAAAAATTCTAAGAATAAAAAGTAGAGTAAAAGAAACGAAAACCAAATGGATAAGTTAGGCTATAAAGTAGATACTGCTGATGAGACAATACGTGGGCTGGAAGACAGATCTGAGGAAATCACCTAGAAAAGAACACCAGAGATAAAGAGAGAGACTCTATGAAATTGATCAAATGATAAGGTCCTACCTATGTTTACTAAGAGTTCCAAATGGGGAAGAAATAGAGTCCGAGGCAGAGAGATAACAGTCAAGAATTCTTATTATGTAGCACATGAGTCTTCAAGTTGAAGCACACCAGGTTCCATGTTGCATAATGAAAAGCAAACCCGGTTTTCATCAGGGTAGCTCAACTCCAGAGTCTCCACCCTAAAAACCCTCCGAGAGGAAAAACAAAACAAAATTACCTACAAATGGACGACAATTAGACCGGCAAGCGCACTTCCCCAAAGCGGCAGTCGCCGGCGGAATATGGCGTGTTACGTTACAGGTGTCGTCATAAATGCCCGGGAGTGATGCATTTAAATTTCTGAGATAAAACCTATTGCTCCGAGTGAAAATAAAGTCGATTTCAGATCATCAAAAGGCTGTTTCGGCCAGTAGCACATGAAGACTCGCCTCATGTGCAAAGGGAAATAAGTGTGCTGTGTGAAGCACCCGGTACAGGACATGGCACAGAGGAAAGCGCTCGGTAATGTATAACGGGGGTTATTATCGGCTAAAATGTATAAACCCGGGGCCATGCATGAGATAACCCAGCTCTCTCCCGTCCACATTGCCAGCCCGTGACAGAATGGCATTTTTCTACCTTCTAGAAAATGTGTGACCGCCATGGTATCTGTATTCACCCATAAAATGCAAACCTGCCCATGCTGGTTTGGCTCAGTGGATAGGGTGTTGGCCTGGGGACTGAAGGGTCCCAGGTTCAATCCCAGTCAAGGGCACATGCCTGGGTTGCGAGCTTGATCCCCAGTAGGGGGCGTGCGGGAGGCAGCCAGTCAGTGGTTCTCTCATCATTGATGTTTCTATCTCTCTCCCTCTCCCTTCCTCTCTGAAATCAATAAAACATATATTAGAAAAAAATGCAAGCCTAACGACCTATGTCTTTTCCTACGGAATGCGTAAGACCTGCTGAGCGGTTCTCCGCTTCCCAGTCCCCGACACGGGGACTGCAGCGGCAGAGGTTGAGATGGAGCCACTGTCAGCCTGGCTTTCTGAATGACCAGGCTGAGCAGAGCTCCCCTGCCCCCCAAGTGGACACATAGACTGGGCGAGAAGCACACTTCTGCTGTGTTAAGACCCCTGAGATTTCACAGTTGTTTGTTCCTGCAGCAAAACCTACCCCATCCTGACTAATAGTGTGCATCGAAAGTCGAAATATTTTTTCCTTGTAGGAAAAAAAAAAGGGCTAAAGCCAGGCCTTAGAACTCGCTGGGTCTTACTTACAAACACTTCGGTTCCACTTGCTTATGTGTTTTTCCATCTCACAGAACGGTAGAAGCAAAATACTTGAAGAGATGCCGGCGGAGGTAGGCACTGCTCCCAGCGAGAAGGAAAAGGTGGGCTCTGACCCCAGCGGACTGACTGTAGAAAGAAAAGTTGGGAAAACCATGAAAAAGCAGACAAGGAACTAAAAAGGCGTGATGATCGCCGGCCGGCCGTCTATGGCAGGTAGGGTTCGTGGCGCTCACTGAGGATCCTGTGAGCACATCTCAGCATCTGAGCCAGGCCCTTGCCGGGTATCCTAGTTTCATTGCACTTTCATCTTGCATATTCGTTTTATTTGATTAGACCAGTGGTTCTCAACCTGTGGGTCGTGACCCCTTTGGCGGTCAAACGACCCTTTCACAGGGTCGCCTAAGACCATCCTGCATCTCAGATATGTACATGACGATTCATAACAGTAGCAACATGACAGTGATGAAGTAGCAACGACAATAATGTTATGGTTGGGTCACAACATGAGGAACTGTATTTAAAGGGCCAGAAGGTTGAGAACCACTGGGTTAGACATTTAGGTTTTGACGACACACTTTTTAACGCTCACTCTCTCCCAGGCATCGTGCTGGCTGAATATTATAAATCTGAGGCAAGTCCCTCGCCCCTCCCAGCATCGCTCCGAGGCAGCCGGTTTTACCCCATCCCTGTGGGTGGGAACACAGCATCCCTCAGAGACGTGGACCCCCCACCCCCCCAGGGCTTCGGGGTGTACAGCAGCGGCGGCAGCTGCGAACCCGCCTGCGTGGTTCCCAGACTCGCGTGCATTAGCAGAAGGCCATGGGGTGACCCTCACGGAAGGCTCCATTCTGTTCCAGAGAAGTCTGCTGAGGAAGGCTGGGCAACACGTGTGACATTTTGGAAAACTTTCTATCAAAAAAAAAAAGATTCAATTTTCACAAGTGCTGGAGCTTCAAAGGGTCTCAGTGTGGGTTATCGGGAGGAGCACATGTGGGAAGCAGCTCTCTCCCGTCCCTCCATCAATGAGACAGTCTTGAATTTCAATGATCTTATAAATGCAACACGAGTGATAAATTATAACTCTATTAAAGCTGTTTCATTTAGAAGATGGAATCTATTCTTTGACCATGTCACTTTTTTTTTTTTTTTTTTTTTTTTACTGCATCTTTCCAACAGAAATATTTGCTGGCCATCCCCGAGTCCCTTCCTGGGTTCTTTACAAGGTGAGGAGGAAGGACCAGGGGTGGGTGGGGGAGGGCCGGCGGGAAGGTGAAGCCGGCCGCGCTGTCCAAATGGTTGCCAGAGAGGCCGGGCTGCCATTTATTTCATCTCCCTAGTTGTTTCCTTATGGGACGGACAGCTGCTGACTCCGGGGTCTTCGCCGGGAATGGAAGAGCGGGGACCAGGAAGGTGGGAGCTCAGAGGCGGTGGCGGAGGCCTTTGACGGCATCACGCTCCTCTCGGGGGCTCCGCCCGCCCGCCCTGGACACCCACGGTCCCCCGCACCCCCCACGCAAGGTTTCCCTGGAAACGTGATGTTTGCTTTACTTTGGGATGACCATCCTGCAGGCAGATGAACACATCTGTCCTAGAACTGGAGCCCTGAGACTGCAAAGTGGCGCTGGCCATCGCACTTCCCAGGAGGGGCCCCGAGGACACAGGCTCCCTGTCCCCGGGCTGGGCTCTCAGCCCCCACCAGGGTGGGTTCAGATGTGCCAGGAGGGGGCGGGGCGGGGGGCAACGCTTACTATCAGGCTGCTTCTGACAATGCCTAATGTAATCCATACACTACACATACATTCTAGTTACACAATTTATGAGGTATAACAAGGGGAGAGAAGTGAAGCGGGCTTATAATTGTGACTGATGTGAAACAGACATGTAGAATGAATGGCCTTACAACATTTTCTTTGAAGTTGGTTAAAAGCAGTAAAGTGATATTCGCCGTAAGTGAAACCTGCTGTGGCAGATCCCCACTGGCGTGGGGGACGTTTTTCCTGTGGACTCTATTTCTTGAATTTTAATCCGCCACTCGGAGGTTTTGAAAACGTTTCTTTCGCTGCGCGGTGGGAGAGAGAGAGAGAGAGAGAGAGAGAGAGAGAGAGAGAGAGAGAGAGAGAGAGACTGCACACCGTGGAACACCTACTGCGTGCCCATCCCGTGTCAAGCGCGTGGCCCCAGGGAGCCCCAGTGGGTGCCGCGCCTAGCGCCCACGGGAATGTTATCATTTGAATGTCTTGGAAAGCCAGAAGAAAACAATGAATATACTGATACGATACCATATTAATGAATTTCCATGATAAAATTAAAATAATGATAATGAACATAACAAGGAATCCGATCTGGACTGTGTTTGCCCTCTGCTATTTTTTTTATGGGAGAAGGGCCCACAAGGCAGAGGACTGAGGGCCCCCAGACCTCACAGTGTGGTCCTGGCTGATAGACACCACCTCACTGGTTTTCCCGAGCGACTGTGAAAGGCAGGAAGGCACGGGGAGGGTGACGCTCCAGAGACTTGAGGAATTTCCGAAGGTCCTACAACTAGGACGAGGGGGAGCCAGGTCTGAAGGCGATTGTCTGGCTCCTCCCACGGGAGAAGAGCTTCATGTTCGGGCAGTTCTATGTGGGATCACCTGCCTGAGGCCTGCAGAACGCCATCTGTGCATTCGTTACCAAAGAAATGAATGGAAAGTCCATTCTGAGGTGGCCATGTGTTTATCCCAAGAATATAGGAAGATGCCTAGAAATGTACGCCACTCAGATGTCCCCAGGTCTGCCTGCTTCAAGGTCAGGATTGTCTTTAACATTCACGGAACCCAGGTCTGGTCCTTGGAGCCATCGTCTTCCCCTTCTTCCTCCTGGGGTCTCTGTGTTCCCCTAACCAGCCCTGGTTCACACTGACAGTCTCCACTAATAACCTCTCACCCGGTTATGAAAGTCACTTTTTGGGCAGGTTGTCACAGCTTTCTCCTCCTGGGGATGCAGCCCCCCCCCCTTCCCCAAAGCACAGCTAAGACTCAGCTGGGACTCCCACCAGATTTTCCTGAAGTCTTGGGGGGTATCAGTAGCATAACACAAAGGGCAACCTATGGCTGATACCTGGGCTGACCAAGTGTCTCAGTCAGCCAAGACTAAGGGGCCCCGGCTGGGAATTGAGCTTTTTTTCTCATCAACAGTGTTACTTGAGGACCTGCTGTATAATAAATACCATTGAACTGTATCCTTAAAAAGCACAAATTTTCTCATGTGAATTATATCTCAATAAAGACTAATCTATAATGACAGAGTGAGCAATGGTTGCCTCAGAGTCGGGGTGTGGAGGGGCATGGGCAGAAAAAGAAGAAGGAATTTTCTGGCATGATAGAAATGTTTCCAATTTGTGAGGGGTGTGAGCTGTATGGCTGTATGGATTTTTCAAAACTCATCTGACTATAACAGATGAGATCTGTGCACTTCACAGGTAAGTTTGGTCTCAACAACAACAAAAAATAAAAGGCAAAAAAAAAATCTTAGCAAAATTGGAATTGAATACTTTAGGTATGATAATTTTTATTATATACAAGGTGTCTCCCAAAAATGCATACACACTTTAACTGCTGAGATAGCTCAATTTTGAAAATGAAATGTATTTGAATAAACACTGCCTTTAAAATTATTCAAAGTATGTGTATACATTTTTGGGACACCCTATATATAATCTAAAACCAATAGTCAACCCCTTGCTCACTCCTGATCCCACTAGAATCATGTCACTGCAGTTGGAACTAAAACCAACATGCCCTGTTATGGGTGATACGTGTTCACAAGGTTCTGCAGGTGCTTGCCTGTGTAATTAGTGAAAGTAAGAAATGAGGAGTCTTCCTTAGGAAAGAGGTGGCAAAAACACCGTTATTTATGTTATTGAAGTTGTCTACCTGGACAACTGAAGAAACACTGAGAATTGTTAGAACAAAGAGGGCTCACCATCCTAATTGCGAAACCAATAGCTTTCCCATCTATAATAATAAAAGCGTAATATGTTAATTAGACCATACCACCAAATGACCTTCTGGTTAAAGCCGGGGCTGCAAGGGCTGAGCCCTTCACGAATTTTGTGCATCAGGCCGCTAGTGTAAGAATAAACAAACATTATTTAGAAAATATAATGGTTAAAACAATTCCATTTAAAAAATTAACAAACACACAAAATGCCTAAGACCAATATAAAGAAAGTTATTGCCGGCCAGCATTGCTCAGTGGTTGAATGTTGACCTCAGAACCAGGGGGTCATGGTTCGATTCCTGGTCAGGGCACATGCCCAGACTGCAGGCTCGATCCCCAGTGTGGGGTGTGCAGGGGGCAGCCGATCCATGATTCTCTCTTCACTGATGTTTTTATTCCCTCTCCCTCTCCCTTCCTTGCTGAAATCAATAAGAATATTTTTTTTAACAGAAAGTTATTAAACTCTCCTGAGGAGCACAGAAAGAACTTCAGTAATTCAAGGGAGCATGTCATCTTTTCCGGATGCACTCAATATTATAAAGGTGTTTAATGGAACTTGAAACAAAAAGATTAAAATGAGCATGGGAGTGTAAATGTGCAGGCATGGTCAGAGGAAGAAGGAGAAGGGGGGGTGAGCTGTCTTCTCCCAGGTGTAAGAATTCATTCATTAAAGTTGGTACAGAACTGATGTAGGAAGAGGGAGGCCTCCGTGGAGCCAAACAAAGATCAAGCATCGCTATGGATTGGGACAAAGTAAAGGTCACATTGAAATAATTAAAGGAAGATTGGATTGTGCACCAAATAATGTTGGCAGTTGCCTGAAATGAGTTCCTGAGGAAGCCACGTTGGTTGCCCGCAGCCCAGTCCCTTCTGTCCTGCCCAGTAACAGCCCCTGCCCCAGAGAGGAACGGCTTGTCCACGGCACCAGCAGCCAGGCTTCCAGAAGGATTTCAGCTCAGCCCGGTCACCTGGAGCATTTGAATAACCCCTGCATCAGGAGGGCTCTTTCTCTCTCGTTCCTGTTTCCCTTTTGTTCAGAGATTCCAGTGGATTCTCCCCACTGAAGCTCCTGGTGAGGCCTGGATCCCATGCTCCCGCTGTGGGGGGGAAAGGGCGAGGTCTGAGTCATGCAAAATACCTGGAAGGCATTGTTTATCACACAGTGATTCTGTGACCAGAAGCAGGAGGAGGACAGCGAAAGTGCAACACCAGCAGACGTTCACTAACCTGTGTCAAGAGTCCTCACAAATGGGTAAGAACGAGTCTTCTCAAAAGAATGTGAAGAGCCATGAAGAGCCATCCTCAAGGATAATTTACTTTTCCTGGGTCCTAGTCTTTTCTATTTCCGCCCCGAATGCTTTCCAAGGTTGTTGTTGGCTAATTTGACAAATTGTGCTGTAATAATTTATCACAAGACACTAATATATTATAAAGAGCTTGCTCTTTTCTTAAGTAACACATAGAATATAGAGACCTTCCGATGACAAGGTTTTCATTCAAAGCAGTGTCTCTCCTTGTGAGAATATGAGGTCTGATGAGAGGGATTCAGTCCCTCGGGCAAAATGAACGCTCAGATATTTCGCTGGAGTTCAGACGTCTGTCTTCTTTCATCTTTGAAAAGTAAGGAAGGGCCTTGTTCTTATGGTTTTTCTTAAATAACCTATAATTTTGCAGCGATTTGATGGGCATGTTTTTTAAGTATATTTAGGGACCTGACCTTTACTGATTTTTTTGTTTTGTTTTAAATTTGGTTTGTCTCATTGAAAGAAAAATTAGATTGTTACTTTTATGTTTTACATACATTTTTATAATTATGCATTTTTTCACCTAGTAGATTTCATGTCATTGCTTTTAAAATATATATCCTGTATGTGTTAGAGCTGTGTGAGAGGATTCATAGAAGATAAAAGTTTAATGTTTGAGTAAATGGTGCATTCCTATGAACTCAGAATCCTAAAACCCACAATTCTTTGGCTTTTATAAATATTGTGTATTATTTTTATGAGAGATGGGGGTTGAGGAGAGAGTGGGAAGGAAGGATGGAGGGAGAGAGATTGAGAACACCCATAGCAGGGAGTTAACTCAAGAGACCCCCCCCCCAGGTTGTATTCCATTGACCATATCTCTCTAATAAAAGCCCAGCGACCATTACGGCAGACAGACCAGAAGGACAGGTTGACCAGTTGCTATGAAGCCCACTGACCACCAGGGGCCAGACGCTCAATTCAGGAGGAGGGCAAGGGGGGTGCAGTGAAGCCTGGAGGCACATGCTATGGCCAAGGGATACCAGGAACCGCAAGCCCAGAGCTTGCTTTCCAATAAAAAAAAATAAATTGGAAAGAAAAGCAGCCCGAGCTGCCACCCTGGGAAGAACAGCTCCAGGAGGGAAAGGCCTCCCCTGGCCCCGCCTGGCTCGGCTGGCGCACTGCGGGCTCGCAGGGACTCACTGGTGATGTGCAGGAAGCGCAGCCCCTCCGACTCCCAAGCCGGCTGCACCATAGCTGCTGCCCGTCCAGCTCCATGGCTGACAGCGCTATCTACCGGGCTGCCTCAGCTCCGACGTCCAGCTTCTGGCTTCCTGCCCACCCCTTCCTTTAGTGCTACCTGCACTTGGGGGCGTGGCTTCGGCCTCCCTGGCCAATAGCGCCGCAGCGCAGCCAGAGAGTGGCAGGACACAGCCACCAGGGCTGGCTGGGCATTGATTTGGCCGCTGACTGACGTCCATGTCCAGTTACACTGTTTACATTTGTAGGGAAGCGGGGCAGCCCGCTCCTGCCGCCCGCCTCACCTTCTAGGCTAAGAAAGGCCGCTGATCTCCGTGTTTCTCCTCCCCTCCGGAATCAAAACCCCTTGGGGATGAATGATCCCAGCGATGGCCCCAACACACGCCCGGTGTCCCCGTCACAGACATCCCCAGTCATTGCAGCCCGTTCCTCAGCCAGCAGTGCCCTTCTCCACCCACTGCCACACCTCGCCTGTCACCCACTGAGGACCACCTGACATTATCCTATCTGAAATGTGAGCAAGATCTCAAATGCCCCCATCAATAGCTCCCTTGCCCTATCTTTCTTCCTCTAAAACCCTTGCGTTTAAAAAATACATACTTGATTGATTTTTGAGAGGGAAATAGAGATAGAAATACCAATAATGACAGAGAATCATTGATCAGCTGCCTCCTGCACATTCCTAAGTGGGGATCAAAACCTCCCCCAGCCCCCCTGTCCCTCCCCCTGCCAGCAGGCACCCGGTGGTGGTGTGGCACCGAGGGGAGGAGGAGGGGGGAGGCGTGGAACCGTGGGGTGGTGGGGCACTGAGGGCAGTGTCGGCGTCTGGCATCTGTTCCGAACCCTGCCTGGCAACCGTCACCTCCTCTCCTAACCCCGCCGGGGCCTTCGGGCTGTGATTGGCCTGGCCCTGATCGGCCCTGATTGCCCAGGGACCCCGCCCATGCACAAATTTCGTGCACTGGGCCTCTAATAAAGGCATAAGCTCTACCATTTACAAACTGTGTGCTGGGAGGCATTACTCTTCGTCTCTGTGCCTCAGATTCATCTTTATGAGTGGAAATGACAAGAGTACCTACCTTCCAGGGTGCTTTTATTTTTTTTTCCCAGGGTAGTTTTGAGGGTGCAATAAATTAAAGTGTTTTAAACAGTGTCTGGACCAAAGTAAGGGCATAGTCATTTGGCTACAACCATAAATCTTTTAAAAATACGTTTTTATTGATTTCAGAGAGAAAGAGAGAAGGGGAGAGGGATAGAAACATCATTGATGAGAGAAAATCACTGATCAGCTGCCTCCTGCACGCTCCCTACTGGGGATCGAGCCTGCATGTGCCCTGGCCAGGAATCAAACTATGACCTTCTGGCTCAAAAGTCGGCGCTCAACCATTGAGCAACACCAGCCAGGTGGACCCAGAAATTATTAAATGCATATGAGGCATCCAAGAGGAGTAGTTGTGAGAATTAAAATAGAGAATTAAAATAAAGGCACATGCCTGGCATTTGGCAATGGGTGGATGCTCAACCACTGAGCCACACTGGCCTGGCACTACAACCATAATTTTGTGTCGTTTCTGGCCGTAGCCCAGCCTGCCCACCGCTGTGGAGCTGGGGCCATCCAGGGCTTTGTGAGGTTCAGGACCTCTGCATGATAGAAGGCAGCCGACTAGAACTGGATAAGCTCGCTTCCTTGAGCTCAAACTCTTTAGAACTAGGCGTTTCATCTGTGGTTAAATAAATGGCCACCGCCGTTTATCGGGAACATGAAGAGTTCTCAGAGC